TAAACGCGTCTGGATTTATAATGAGGAATATTCAGAGGGGTTTGGGACTCCATGAAACAGTTGTGGTATCTTAATCTCTCTCGTTCTTTTTTTCAAGGTATTGTTCCTCCTCACATTAGAAACCTTTCTAATTTAAAGGTTCTTGATCTAAGTGAAACCTATGAGCTGATGATAGATGATATGACTTGGACTTTTGGTCTTTCATCACTCGAGCAACTTGACTTGAGTTTTAATGATCTTAGTCGAGCACAAAACTGGGACATGGTGCTTTACATGATTCCTTCGTTAAAAAAGTTAAGTTTGTCATCTTATGGACTTTCCAATGTTGATATTCGTCTTTCTATTAATTCGAGTAAAATACTCCCCAACATCGATTCCTAACCTTCTAAAACTCGATCTTTCTTACAATGAGTTTAGTAGCTCTTACATCGCTACGTCGGTTAAACTTGAATGACAATAACCTTACATGGACCTCTCAAAGAATTGTTCAAATCATCAAGACCCAATAACTCATGAGCCCACTAAGATCCATCCAGACAAAGACAAAGCAGATGATGAGCCGAAGGAGGCATGGTTGTTTGGTCTGGACATAATATGTGGTTTTGCAACAGGATTTTGGGGTATTGTTGGAGTTTTGTTGTTCAAGAAGCACTGGAGAATGAAGCTTTTCCTGTTTGTTGAGGAAACTACGGACAAGATACACGTTGCAGTTGCAATAGGAGTTGCCAAGATGAAGAGAGGCCACATAGATCCTTTGGGATGCAAGTAGTTCTTGCATATTTATTTTTCTTTTATATTACTCTTGCTGTGGTTATTTAAATTTTTATATTTGTATGACATTTGCAATATGGATGATATTTTTAAAAGTGTTCATTTACAAGATCAAGTTGTTTGATAACAAATGATTTGAAATTATCAAGTTACAACATGAACGTCTTGAGACGCGTCAATATAATAAATAAATAAACAAAAAAAACTCAAAGCAGGTGATCATAGACTGAATTGAAGCAAATGGTTTTGTTCTTGATTCAGTTTTTTTCAGGACCCGACATTTGGTCACCCGTTTTGTTGATTGAGTTTTTTTTTTTTTTTTTTGAGTGTTCAAGCCCTTGATCTGTCCTTTGAGCATATTGTGTAGCTGCAAAACTTCTTGATGTTACCTACTTTTGGTTCGGATCTGAGTTGATGGCATATATAATATTGATTTCTTATCGTGTTTGTTTTTCCAATGTTATTACTTTTACTCTTAATTTGTATAGATCATCAACAACAATAGTCGACTTAAATTCAAATTAAAACTCATTTATTGCATACAGTGGTTCAAACTAAATATTTGAGCATATGTTTTCTATAATTCTTTCTCATATGCATCTCCAATATCAGTTCTTCACATTATTTTCTCACGTAAGTTAATGCATAAGTAAGGTTCCGGGTTCAAGCTTAGGTGTCACTTTCTTTGCTTGTTTTGAGATATGTTGTGGCTCATTTTAAGAGATAAATGCACCCATGTTCTACAACGATTTTCTGTGCCACAAGCATTTGAATGTCATCCAATCTATAACGCATTAAAGCCCTCAATATTCGCCACTTTGAGTGACAACCAAGGGTGAAGTCAAGTATGGGTTATGAAACTAACATAAATGTTAAAGCACGATGAGGATTAAGTTTGGTAATCTAAGTATGCCGAGAAAGCCACAAATTGTAGATCTACTAGATTTGGGGATTTAACCAAAACAATGGCGGAGCCAAAAGCACACATAAATTTTAGGGGTTGGTTAACACACCGAAAAAATTACACAACACAAAAATCTACAAAAAATTTCATTGCACCTAAAAATTTGAGGGGTAGCACAGATCGATCCACCCTTGAACCAAAATCAAAATTAGAAATGCATGAAATTTGACAAACATTTAACATAATTTAATAACAAAGTTGGTCATAAAGACAAGTGATGTTACAAATCCAAAGTTAAGGACCATTCATACAAGAAAAGTTCATGACGAGACTTAAATCATCGACCTCAAAGAAAGAGGGCGTCATTTGATACCACTGAGTTAGAAGTCATTTGGTTTTTTGACCAATTTTATACAATTAAAAATTTAGTAACATAAAGAGCAAATAAAATTTATTTATTAATAGCATTTTTATGATATTTTCCATTAATTATTAAATTAAATAAGCAATTTTCAATTAGTTTTTTTTTCTAACTTATTTGAAAGTGTTTATTATTCGAGGAAACGAATAAACAATTTCGCATTCTTTTGACCCTAAAGAGTTATATGGGTTGTATCCTCGTTTTTCTTTTTTCAATACCAACGATACAAATGTCATTTTATTTTTTCATACTACATAAGTCAACGCTTTAACACCCAGATTCCAAGTATTTCTTATTTTGACCCTTGATTTTAAATTAGTTTTCAAATTTGGTCCCAAAGGGTGAAAAGCAAAACTTTAACGGATGGGCGCGTACGTTAGGCGTACTTCTAGTATGTGGGGCGTACGTTGTCTAGGGACAAACCCTAATTTTTAGGGTTTGGACCCTATTTAAGCATCATTATGGACTCAAGACCCTTGCCCTCATGAGCCTCCTTCCCTCTAAAGATACCCCACGAAACCCTAGCTTGTTCTTGAGCTTTGGTGGTTAACTTTTGGTGTTTTTCCTCACTTTGAAGAAGAAGAAAGAGCTTAGTGTTCAATCCTTAGTTGGAGTAGAGCTCTCAGATCCATAGTCTTCATCAGTTTTGCTAACCTTTGGAGGTATAAAGTTTCTATCTTTATGAATCTATGTGTTAGACCTAATCTAGGGCTTGTTTTGGGCATATCTTGGTCCCTTGAGTCATCCTTTTCAGTATGAGCTACTCCAGAAGATTAAAATATTAGATCTTAGCATTTATGATGTTGTTAGTGCATAAAAATGTCATCTTGATGGGCGTTGATGAAGCATGCTTGAGTTAGTGTTCATATTATGGACCTAGATGGATAAAACTAGATTTTGGGTCCCATTAAGACATACAAATGAGTAAAATTGCCAACTATATTGATTAAGACCTCATTTAGACCTAGATTTGAGGTATGGGCGTTAAGGTCTTGATGGATTACGACCTTTGCTTAAGGAAAGGGACTATGGGCAGTACGCGGGTGTACTTCTTAGTACGTTGCACATACTGGGTATGAGGCCCGATAGAAGTCACTCGAGTACGTGGGGAGTACAGGTCAGGTACGCAGGGCGTACTACCTACTGTGGGCATAGGTTGCTTTTGGGCCATTTTGAGGGTTTGGGCCTTGATTGAATGGGTTTAGCTTTGAGGGGTAAAATAGTCTTTTACCCTAAGAGTCAGGATTATGGATTTGGGCTCTTAGTTATGGTTTATGGCCTAATTATTAATTAGGGCATTATTTGATCATATGTAGTGCAGAGATTTCTCGAATAAACAGTCAGAGCATTTATCTAATTTTTCAGCAGATTGAGGTGAGTCTCCTCCAAGTTTTTGGTAGGTCGAACGCACTAATGACGACCCATAGATTATTGTTATTTGTATGCTAGTTGTATGTATGACTCTTTCATGTGTTATATGTGTTGTATGTAAGTCGGGTGGGGCCTAATGAGTGTGTTGGGTGGGGCCCATCACATGTTAATGACAGATTTATTTCGGGCGGGTTCGATGCCGAGCAGGGCCCGATGGTTGTCGGGAAAGGCCCATTGTATGTATGGTATGGGGTATTTCGGGGAACTCAATAAGCTTTGTGCTTACGGTTTTTAGTTTATGTTTCAAGTATTTCCTAGTCGATGGGGGAAGGGCTCGGGATGATCGCATCGCACACACCATGATTTTTCGCTTTATTAACTCTGATGTATTTTGGATGATTATGGATACACTATGATTTCCTTATGGTTTTATAAAAAAAATTTGGTTGATGTTTTATTTAATATAAAAATAAAATTTTTGGTTCTGGATTTTGGGACGTTACAAGTTGGTATCAGAGCCTTGGTTTGATGGATTCGAGTATACTCTAGTAGGGCTATCAAATATGTACCACGGAGAACCAACCAATATGTTACCAACCGAACCAAGAAAGTTGGTTACCAATATATTTGGTAGCCAACATGTTTGGTTGGTAGTACCGTACCAATTCAGTAAACTTGGTATGGTAACGGTATTAAATTTTAAATACCACGGTATTACCGTACCAACCAATTCATATATATATATATATATATATATATATATATATATATATATATATATATATATATATATATATATATATATATATATATATATATATAAACGAAATCGTATTTTTAAATGTCAAGTGTTTAATGCTTACGTTTTTTAAAATTATGATATTAGATATTAAACTTAGTCAATAGTTATTACCAGATTAGATTAAGAAACTGAAAAGTCCCTTATTAAATTTTTTAGTAACTAGAATAGTTAATTTACTAATTTATATTACTCGACGAGAAAAGTGTCCCGTATCGTTACTAGTCTTTAACTATTACAATTGAAATTTTGAACAAGTTGGTAATATATCATTACCAAATTGTACCAACCAAACTTGTTAGTAGCCAAACAAGTTGGTACCAAGTATAGTTGGTACGGTACTGGTAGCAAAAAATTTATACCAACTGTAGTTGGTACAGTACACGGTTTAAGTAAAAATCAACTGGTACCGTACCATGTTCAGCCATATACTCTAGGGTGTGTATGAACTAAAATTGAGGGTTTGATACATTTTTCATAAAAATAAATGTTTTAATTAAAGGATTTTCTAATAAAAAAAGGAGTGTGGTGCATGCAATCGACCGAGCTCAAGTAAGTTTTCCGAAAATGCCCATACGTGTTCTATGTGATATGCTTTGAATTATGAATTTGTGAGCAGCATGCTAGATTAGGGATAAGGATCTTCTCAGGATTTCATGATAGAATTTTAGGAGATATGCCTTTATATGCCTACTGTATGAGCTTATAGACTTACATGCTAGTACTGGATCAGTTAGTGATTAGATGGTCTATTTAGGTTATGCTTTGATTCCGATTACTCAATGCTCGAATGTTGCTTGCTTTGTGATTTTAGGAGTTCCCATTAACATCAGCTAACTATAAAGTGAATACGCTAAGTTACATATTACTGATATTAGATAATTTTAGAAGGTTAGGTTTAACCCTAATGCACAACTCTTGTCTAAGTTCAATCATTGTAGTGTGATACCTTTCATTCAAAATATATTTGGTGTCGGTAATATGTAATTGATGAGTTTTAAGCATAACAAAAAATTCCTATGTGTGCATGTAACCCTAGTTCTTGGATCTATGTTTTCTCTAATTGAACATACAACTTTTGAACATCAAACTGAAAACCCTAATTGCACTAGTAT